CGTGTCCTCGAAGAGTCTGGCCACACGGCAACGAATAAATACACGCATACGCAATAAATAAAACACACAATCTCAGCTGACACTTAAATCACATACACAAGATCAACAGTACTACGAGGGCACTGAATTCTCCACCACACCCGAGAACACAAGGAAAAATAGAGTGCAAAAAAGACAGACGGAAAGAGCAGTACAGTACCAAACGGCCGGTCGCCGAATCAGCGTCGATTGCAGAGATTGTCCATAAGACTGATCTGATCCAATGCACAGAACCGATCGAAAGACGGCTCTGCTACTAAAATAGATTTCCTTTTGTAACATCTCTCTCCTCTCTTTTCTCCATGCCTGTTTTTGCCATTGGATTTTGTCCAGAGAATAAATTACGAAATGCAGAGCTAAGCTCCGCCCACATACAGATAACGACCACAGTTATGATTCCTTTCCTACAAACTACATACATCAGGAGTTTTGGGACAACTTCGCTTGTCCTGCGCTCAAGCGAGTATTGTATGACGTTCAAGGTTTTCGGAAAGTTTGAAGTAGGCTCCGCCCTCGCACAGACAATGATAACAAGTACGATTCCTTCCCAAATTCCTACACACTACATATAGTAGAGCTACCACAAAAACAGGCTTGTCCTGTACTCGAGTAGCTATCGTAAAAGAGGAGTGGCGTTCAGGGGTTTCTAAAGTTTTGAATTAGGCTCCGCCCTCATACAGACAACAACCACAGGTATGATTCCTTCGTGATTTCCTACAAACTACATACATCAGGAGTTTTGGGACAACTTCGCTTGTTCTGCGCTCAAGCAAGTATTGTATGATGTTCAAGGTTTTCAGAAAGTTTGAAGTAGGCTCCGCCCTCGCACAGACAATGATAACAAGTACGATTCCTTCCCAAATTCCTACACACTACATATAGTAGAGCTACCACAAAAACAGGCTTGTCCTGCACTCGAGTAGCTATCGTAAAAGAGGAGTGGCGTTCAGGGGTTCCTAAAGTTTTGAATTAGGCTCCGCCCTCATACAGACAACAACCACAGGTATGATTCCTTTGTGATTTCATACAACCTACGTATCTCAGGAGTTACAAGACAACTTCGCTTGTCCTGCGCTCAAGCGAGTATTGTATGATGTTCAGGGTTTTCGGAAAGTTTGAAGTGGGCTCCGCCCTGGCACAGACAATGATAACAAGTACGATTCCTTCCCAAATTCCTACACACTACATATAGTAGAGCTACCACAAAAACAGGCTTGTCCTGCACTCGAGTAGCTATCGTAAAAGAGGAGTGGCGTTCAGGGGTTTCTAAAGTTTTGAATTAGGCTCCGCCCTCATACAGACAACAACCACAGGTATGATTCCTTTGTGATTTCATACAACCTACGTATCTCAGGAGTTACAAGACAACTTCGCTTGTCCTGCGCTCAAGCGAGTATTGTATGATGTTCAGGGTTTTCGGAAAGTTTGAAGTGGGCTCCGCCCTGGCACAGACAATGATAACAAGTACGATTCCTTCCCAAATTCCTACACACTACATATAGTAGAGCTACCACAAAAACAGGCTTGTCCTGCACTCGAGTAGCTATCGTAAAAGAGGAGTGGCGTTCAGGGGTTTCTAAAGTTTTGAATTAGGCTCCGCCCTCATACAGACAACAACCACATGTACGATTCCTTTGTGATTTCCTACAAACTACAAATATCAGGAGTTACGGGGAATCTTCGCTTGTCCTGCCCTTAAGTGGATATTATATGACGTTCAGGGATTTCTAAAGTTATGAACTTGGCTCCGCCCTCATATAAACAACGACCACAGGTATGATTCCTTTGTGATTTCCTATAAACTACATATATTAGGAGTTACGGGACTATCAGGGGGTTTCTGAAATTTTGAATTAGGCTCTGCCCTCACAGACAATGATAAAAGGTACGACTCCTTTCTAAATTCCTACACACTACCTGACAAAAGTCTTGGATCACAGTTGTAAGAGCAAGAAATAACAACTTGACTTCTAGTTGATCATTTGGAAAAGCGGCAGAATGTGGATTTCTCTGATGAATCATCTGTTGAACTGTATCCCAATCATCACACATACTGCAGAAGACCTACTGGAACCCGCATGGACCCAAGATTCTCACAGATATCAGTCAAGGTTGGTGAAGGAGAAATCATGGTTTGGGGTTGCATTCAGTATGGGGGCGTGCGAGAGATCTGCAGAGTGGACGGCAACATCAACAGCCTCAGGTATCAAGAGATTTGTGCTGCCCATTACATTACAAATCACAGAAGAGGGACAATTCTCCAGCAGGATAGCGCTCCTCATACTTCGGCCTCCACATCAAAGTTTCTAAAAGCAAAGGTCAAGTTACTAGCTCTCTGCAACTCTCACATGATCACCCACTGAAGCTAAGCAGGGCTCTGCCTGGTCAGTACCTAGATGGGAGACCACATGGGAAAGCTTGGTTGCTGCCAGAAGTGTTGTTTGCGAGACCAGCAGGGGGCACTCAACCTGCGATCTGTGTGGGTCCCAATGCCCCAGTATAGTGAAGAGGACTCTATACTGTTCAGTGAGCGCTGTCTTTCAGATGAGACGTTTAACTAAGGTCCCAACTCTCTGTGGTCGTGAAAAATCCCAGGATGTCAGGTTTAACCCTGGCATCCTGGCCAAATTTGCCCACTGTCCATCACGGTCTTCTAACCATCCCCATATCATAATTGGCTTCATAACTCAGTTTCCTCTCCACCAATTAGCTAGTGTGTGGTGTGTTATTATTGGTTGTTACTAAACCTTGGATAGGCGACAAGACTTTAGTCAGGTAGTGTAGAGGAGCTACCACAAAAACGTCAGTGTCCTACACTCGAGCAAGTATTGTAAATCAGGGGTGGTGTTCGGGCTTTTCAGAAATGTTAAATTAGGCTCCGCCCTCACAAAGACAATGATAACGGATACAATTTCTTCTCAAATTCCTACACATTACATATAGTGTAGCTACCACAAGAACAAGCTTGTGCTGCGCTCAAGCGACTATTGTAAAAGAGTGGTGACCTTCAGGCTTTTCGAAATGTGGAAATAGGTTCCGCCTACTCACAGACAACAACCACAGTTACAATTTCTTATCAAATCTCTACGACTTACACATTTCAGAAGCTACCAGGGAAAACATTCCTGTCTCACACTCGAGCAACTTTCGTAAAATTAAGCGCGGTCAAAACATGGAAGTAACAATCGGTGGCATTTTGGGGGGAAACATAGAACCAGGCTACACCCTCACTCAGAAAACTATTACAGGTACGATTTCTTAGCGAATTCCTACCGACTATACATTTATTTAGATATACCACAGTAAACATTTGTGCTGTGCTTGAGTGTCTACCGTAAAAGGGGGTGGCAATTCAGTGCAGGGGTTTTGAAATGTGGAGCTAGACTCTTTCCACACAAAACAATAACAATCGATAGGATTCTTTCGCTAATTCGCACGAACTACACATATTGGAGCTACTACAGAAAATGCTCTTGTCCTGCACTTGAGGGAGTATTGCAAAAATAAGGTGGCATTCAGCGGTGTTCGAAACACGGAGCTAGGCTCCGGTCACACAGTGAAAACAGGTACAAAACGTTCAGAAATTCCTACAAACTATATATATATTTATATATTGGAGATACCACAGGAAACTCTAGGTCTCCGCTTGAGCGATTATCGTAAAAAGGGGGTGCCATTTGAAGGGAGGTTCGAAATGTTGAGATAGGCTCCGCCCACACACAGACAACGACAATATGTGTGATTCCTACACAAATCCCTATGAGTTACAAATATCAGAAGCTACCAGGAAAAACGCTCTTGTCCTGCGACTATCGTAAAAGAGGGGTGGTGTTCAGGGGTGTTCAGGAAGGGTTAAATGTGGAGAGGTTCTTACGATCCTCTAGAGTTTAAATCGAACTGAAACCTCAATTGATAACTAGACTCACACTGCACGAAGACGAGACACAAAAACCACAGGACAGCACACCGTCTCTTGACTAATTATCAAGTTACAAAATGGCAGAACTCACTACTCTAAAAACTAACGTCACTTCTCTCGTAATAAGTTTGTAAAGGAATCATCACAACAACGCATGCAAAGGTTCTCACGAAGAATTTTTTACAGTGTTTTTTTCCTTTCATTATTAGTATTGATTATCTTAAATCTAAGAGTCTGACCTTTTATCGCCTCATGCTACATAGATTCCTTTTTTTATCGTTTATTTATCGTATATGCATGTTTGTTTGTTGTGTTTTTTTTCTTTCTTATATGTGCTGGTATCCTTTACACTGCATGCAAATGATGTACAGCCACAAACATGCATGTAAGTTTTCACATTCTGTGTTTCCGTGCGAGAGGGAACGGACTGCATTTCTGTGTATGACATCGCCAGTGACGTCACAATGGCATTACATAGAACACCGACACTATCTATTCGTTATATAGCAGCAAAGCTTCTTCTATAGCTTGTGATTAAATTGCAAAAGTAGAGCAATAACAAGCCAGATTAATATTCTGAGGTATTGTCTTTTTCTCTTTTTTTGCCAGTGGAAAATGGAAAGTCTCAGTAATTAATTATTGAATCATTCCTATTCCTGCTAAGAGCACATTGGAGTGAAACATCAGGGGGAAATATTATTTTGTGTCTTTTTTTGTGTTATTTTCTATCTCTATATATATATTAAGCGGCAAACGTCTCGTTTTGAGGCCGCGCATTTTGCTACCTTTGGTTCGAGATCCAGGGCAGGCATCATAGATTACGTCGTCAAGGGTTTTCCAGAGACAATTGCGCACTTTGCCCACTAGGGGGGGATTTAGCAGCAGACGGACACACAGAACGAATGAACAGAACGGACAGGCTGCCCCCCAAGCGAAAAACATTCTCGATTCTACTCGTTAAATCTCACATATAAAAATAATTTGAAAAAACTACAAAAAAATCAATCTCTTTTTTTCGTAATCTCCTTTTTTTTTAAAAAACAAAAAAACAAAAACACAAACGTACCACAAAAAAACTCTGTTCCGAGCCTGAGATGTACAGGGAGGGAGAAAGAAGTGGTTTGGTGAAATAAACTGAGGCTTGTAGTGTTTCTGGCTGCTACAAAAGATAAAGATATATTTATATATTTATATTCATATATATTCTCTATATCCTGTATACGGTTATGTACTCTATACTGACAGCTTGGGGCCAAACTAAGCTTCTTTTTCTCTATTGTTTTTTTAAACCCGCAGCAGATAAGTTGTTTCTGCTTGGTCTTTAGTTCCAGCGGAAGTGGATCTGGCGCGGTCGGTCGGCACCCTCTTTGACCAGCGGCTTGTGAAACTCGCGGCCGGCGCGGGAGTGGATGTTCGCCCAGCAGAACTCACAGTAATACTGCAGGCAGGTCACGTTGGCGCAAAAAAATGGCGCAAACTTTCCACCACAGCGCGCTCCCTGGCATTCGTCACACAGCTGATCGTCTAGCACGTACGGCTTGACCTCCACCTGCGACACACAAACACGGTTACACCACTTCTACTTCCATTTAGAGCAGTGCTTCCCAAAGTGGGGGTCGGGAAGTAATCTGTGAGCAGTGTGGTGTGGTGTGTTTACCCGTTTGTCGATGTCTCCGTGCTGCAGCTGGACGAATCGGGCGCTGATGGCAGCGATGTAGCTCTGCTGATTGGAGAAGGCCACACGCCCCGCCCCCTTTGGGTACTTCAGCTCCGGGTCGGTGTCAATCCCGGCATAACACACTCCACCATACAAGCGGTCCATGATCATGGCCAGCTCCACTGCACAACAGTAAACAAGGAGCGCAAACATTTTAGTGCTTGATGGAAAACTAAAACAGGATAAGGTTTATAAAATTAAAGAAGTTCTATTGTCATGTTGGGCAGCACAGGGGCTCAGTGGTTAGCACTGTCACCTCAGAGCAAGAAGATCACTGGTTTGAGTCCTGGCTGGGTCAGATGGCATTTCTGTGTTTTAGTTTGCATGTTCTCCCCATGTTGGCGTGGGTTTCCTCTGGGTGCTCCGGTTTCCCCCACAGTCCAAACACATGCGGTACAGGTGAATTGGGTAAGCTAAATTGTCCGTAGTGTATGTCTGTGAATTAGTGTGTGTGGGTGTTTTCCAGTGATGGGTTGCAACTGGAAGGGCATCAGTGGCGTAAAACATATGCTGATTAAGTTTGCGGTTCATTCCGCTGTGGTGACCCCTGATTAATAAAGGGACTAAGCTGAAAAGAAAATGAATGAATGAATGATATATGCTAAGCTAAGCTAAAAGTGCTACCGCCAGACCTGGAGATTGCCTGAATGGAATAAAAAAATGGGAAAACGTGTCTTACCAGCTCTCAGTGGACGCGGGACTCCTCCTACAAAGATGGTCTTACGAGGGTCCAGCGGCTGCGATCCGTCCATCACGAAATCACTGTCACTCAGGTTCCACGGGCGAATTTGGACCTGAAACCACACACCGATCCACAACATGACGCTTTGTCCACAGACATTTAGATGTGTGAAATCTGGTTTAGGGCATCACGATGGCGCAGTGGGTAGCACGATCGCCTCACAACAAGAAGGTCACTGGTTCAAGCCCTGAATGGGCCACTTGCCTATTTCTGTATGGAGTTTGCATGTTCTCCCTGTGTTGGCGTAGGTGTCCGGTTTGCCCACAATCCAAACACATGCGCTTTAAACTAAATTGGCCGTAGTGTATAAGTGTGAGGGCAAGAGTGTATGGGTGTAGCTGAAAGGGCATCCGCTGCATAAAACATATGCTGGATAAGTTGGCGGTTCATTCCGCTGTGGTGACCCCTAATTAATAAAGGGACTAAGCCGAAAAGAAAACGGATGAATGAATAAAATCTGGTTTAAATAAATAGAAGTCCTTAAAAGGACAGTACACCCCTCCCCCCCCCAAAAATAAAATTCTGTCATCATTTTCTCATCTGTATCCTCTCTCTTCGCACGTCATGACCTTGCCAAGTATGATGTGATCCTGGATTAACATCTATGTTGACCCTGGACCATCATTTTTGTTGGAAAATGTTATCCATATCTACTACCTATCCCTAAACCCAACTATAACTGTACATTACACCCAAAATCTGAGGGGATTAATAGTTGGATAACATTTACACAACATGTAGAAGTGCATAAACCTAACCGTGAGCCTAACATTAACATAAACGGTAAACATATCCCTTAATTCTAATTGGCTGATTGGAATGTTGTTCCCGGATCAACATAGATGTTAATCCAGGAACACGTCCTACTTGGTGAAATCCGGTTGGTGTTCTCTCTTCTGTTGAACACAAATGAAGAAATACTTAAGAATGCTGTAAAAAAACCGCCGTTGACTACCATAGTATATTTTGTTCCTACTTTGAATGCCAAATTGCTGCTTTCTTCAACATTCTTCAAAACATCTTCTGTGCATTCAACAGAAGAAAGACATTTATAAAAGTGTTCAACCACTTGAGTGTGCTTAAATGAAAATCCCTGTTGAAGGTATAAGATGTGCATATACAGTATGTGTGTGTGTAGACTCACAGGCTTGTCTTTGATGGTGGGACTGGACACACACAGGTAGAGTTTGCCGTCCTCCTCCAGACAGGCTTCGATCAAGGCCTGAACTGAAGTCTCCTCTTGGAACAGGAGAAAAGCATAACCTACACACAAACACACACAATCAGTATACTTTATATTCAAAGGAGTTGTAAGGAATGTTGAATGCAGACAGGACTGCTCACCAAGGCTGCATTTATTTAATCAGAAATACAGCACCAATTGTAAAATTATGAAATGTTATTGCACTATAAAATAACTGTTCAAAAGTAGTTTATCATGTAATTTAATCATCTACTCCAGTGTTTTAAAAGATTACTCCAGCTTTCAGAGTCACATAATCCTTCAGAAATCACTTAAATATTAATTATTAATATTATTATTGTTATTAATATTATTATTATTATTGGTAATAGTAATAAAAGCAACAATGACTGGAGTAAAAATTTTATTTGGAACAACATACAATAAAAAAACAGTTATTTAAAATGTTAATACATATTTAACAATTTATTTACCTTTAATAAATGCAGAAAAACTGAATAATTTATATATATATATATATATATATATATATATATATATATATATATATATATATATATATATATATATATATATATATAAAAATATAATATATATATATAAATATATATATATA